TATGGACAGATTTGTTGTGCGACAGAGGTCCAGTGACTCTGAAGCTGGTCCTAGTGGCATTAAAAGAAGAAGGGAAGTAACCCCAGAAAAGGACTTGCTACCTCAAGTCCTAATGGAAGGGGATTCCCCTTCTAAACAGTAAGAAGATAATGCTCTCCCCTCCTCCCATCCCATCAATCATCACCAGATCTTCAATAAAAGTAAGTGTCATGTAATTGTGCATGCCTTTTTCAGTTTGTGTGTATTAAAATTAACATTTCATGTGGTAAAAAAATTTTTTTTCATACTTTTGGGCGTCTTGCACGGATTAATTTTATTTCCATTATTTCTTATGGGGAAAATTAATTCGCATAACGATTATTTCGCATAACGATGAGCCCTCTTGCACGGATTAAAATCGTTAACCGGGGGTCCACTGTAATAATAATAATAATAATAATTTTTTTTTTTTTTTTTTTTTTTTTTTTTAACAAGTCGGTCGTCTCCCACCGAGGCAGGGTGACCCAAAAAAGAAAGAAAATCCCCAAAAAGAAAATACTTTCATCATCATTCAACACTTTCACCACACTCACAACATTATCACTGCTTTTGCAGAGGTGCTCAGAATACAACAGTTTAGAAGCATATACGTATAAAGATACACAACATATCCCTCCAAACTGCCAATATCCCAAACCCCTCCTTTAAAGTGCAGGCATTGTACTTCCCATTTCCAGGACTCAAGTCCGACTATATGAAAATAACCGGTTTCCCTGAATCCCTTCACTAAATATTACCCTGCTCACACTCCAACAGATCGTCAGGTCCCAAGTATCATTCGTCTCCATTCACTCCTATCTAACACGCTCATGCACGCTTGCTGGAAGTCCAAGCCCCTCGCCCACAAAACCTCCTTTACCCCCTCTTTCCAACCCTTTCGAGGACGACCCCTACCCCTCTTTCCTTCCCCTATAGATTTATATGCTTTCCATGTCATTCTACTTTGATCCATTCTCTCTAAATGACCAAACCACCTCAACAACCCCTCTTCTGCCCTCTGACTAATGCTTTTATTAACTCCACACTTTCTCCTAATTTCCACACTCCGAATTTTCTGCATAATATTTACACCACACATTGCCCTTAGACAGGACATCTCCACTGCCTCCAACCGTCTCCTCGCTGCTGCATTTACCACCCAAGCTTCACATCCATATAAGAGTGTTGGTACTACTATACTTTCATACATTCCCTTCTTTGTCTCCATAGATAACGTTTTTTGACTCCACATATACCTCAACGCACCACTCACCTTTTTTCCCTCATCAATTCTATCATTAACCTCATCCTTCATAAATTCATCCGCCGACATGTCAACTCCCAAGTATCTGAAAACATTCGCTTCTTCCATACTCCTCCTCCCCAATTTGATATCCAATTTTTCTTTATCTAAATCACTTGATACCCTCATCACCTTACTCTTTTCTATGTTCACTTTCAACTTTCTACCTTTACACACATTCTCAAACTCATCCACTAACCTTTGCAATTTTTCTTTAGAATCTCCTATAAGCACAGTATCATCAGCAAAAAGTAACTGTGTCAATTCCCATTTTGAATTTGATTCCCCATAATTTAATCCCACCCCTCTCCTGAACACCCTAGCATTTACTTCTTTTACAACCCCATCTATAAATATATTAAACAACGATGGTGACATTACACATCCCTGTCTAAGACCTACTTTTACCGGGAAGTATTCTCCCTCTCTTCTACACACCCTAACCTGAGCCTCACTATCCTCATAAAAGCTCTTTACAGCATTTAGTAACTTACCACCTATTCCATATACTTGCAACATCTGCCACATTGCTCCTCTATCCACTCTATCATATGCCTTTTCTAAATCCATAAATGCAATAAAAACTTCCCTACCTTTATCTAAATACTGTTCACATATATGCTTCAATGTAAACACTTGATCTACACATCCCCTACCCACTCTGAAGCCTCCTTGCTCGTCCGCAATTCTACATTCTGTCTTACCTCTAATTCTTTCAATTATAACCCTACGTATACTTTTCCTGGTATACTCAGTAAACTTACTCCTCTATAATTTTTACAATCTTTTGTCCCATTTCCCTTTATATAAAGGGACTATACATGCTCTCCGCCAATCCCTAGGTACCTTCCCTCTTTCATACATTTATTAAACAAAAGTACCAACCACTCCAACACTATATCCCCCCCTGCTTTTAACATTTCTGTCATGACCCCATCAGTTCCAGCTGCTTTACCCCTTTCATTCTACGTAATGCCTCACGTACCTCCACCACACTTACATTCTGCTCTTCTTCACTCCTAAAAGATGGTATACCTCCCTGGCCAGTGCATGAAATTACCGCCTCCCTTTCTTCCTTAACATTTAAAAGTTCCTCAAAATATTCTCGCCATCTACCTAATACCTCCCTCTCCCATCTACTAACTCCCTACTCTGTTTTTAACTGACAATCCATACTTTCCCTAGGCTTTCTTAACTTGTTTAACTCACTCCAAAATTTTTTCTTATTTTCATTAAAATTTCTTGACAGTGCCTCTCCCACTCTTTCATCTGCTCTCCTTTTGCACTCTCTCACCACTCTCTTCACCTTTCTTTTATCTCCATATACTCTGCTCTTCTTATAACACTTCTGCTTTGTAAAAACCTCTCGTAAGCTACCTTTTTCTCTTTTATCACACCCTTTACTTCATCATTCCACCAATCACTCCTCTTTCCTCCTGCCCCCACCCTCCTATAACCACAAACTTCTGCCCACATTCTAATACTGCATTTTTAAAACTATTCCAACCCTCTTCAACCCCCCCACTACTCATCTTTGCACTAGCCCACCTTTCTGCCAATAGTCGCTTATATCTCACCCAAACTTCCTCCTCCCTTAGTTTATTTCACTTTCACCTCCCTCTTACTTGTTGTTGCCACCTTCCTCTTTTCCCATCTACCTCTTACTCTAACTGTAGCTACAACTAAATAATGATCCGATATATCAGTTGCCCCTCTATAAACATGTACATCCTGGAGCCTACCCATCAACCTTTTATCCACCAATACATAATCTAACAAACTACTTTCATTACGTGCTACATCATACCTTGTATATTTATTTATCCTCTTTTTCATAAAATATGTATTACTTATTACCAAATTTCTTTCTACACATAGCTCAATTAAAGGCTCCCCATTTACATTTACCCCTGGCACCCAAAATTTACCTACTACTCCCTCCATAACATTTTTCCCCACTTTAGCATTGAAATCCCCAACCACCATTACTCTCACACTTGATTCAAAACTCCCCACGCATTCACTCAACATTTCCCAGAATCTCTCTCTCTCCTCTACACTTCTCTCTTCTCCAGGTGCATACACGTTTACTATAACCCACTTTTCACATCCAATCTTTATTTTACTCCACATAATCCTTGAATTTATACATTTGTAGTCCCTCTTTTCCTGCCATAGCTTATCCTTAAACATTATTGCTACTCCTTCTTTAGCTCTAACTCTATTTGAAACCCCTGACCTAATCCCATTTATTCCTCTCCATTGAAACTCTCCCACCCCCTTCAGCTTTGTTTCACTTAAAGCCAGGACATCCAGTTTCTTCTCATTCATAAAATCCACAATCATCTCTTTCTTATCATTTGCACAACATCCACGCACATTCAGACTTCCCACTTTGACAATTTTCTTCTTCTTATTCTTTTTAGTAATCTTTACAGGAAAAGGGGTTACTAGCCCATTGTTCCCGGCATTTTAGTTGACTTTTACAACACGCATGGCTTACGGAGGAAAGATTCTTATTCCACTTCCCCATGGATATAAAAGGAAAAGTAATAAGACCAAGAACTATTAAGATAAAATCAAAGAAAAACTCAGATGAGTGTGTATAAATAAACGTGTACATGTATGTGTAGTGTGATTTAAGTTTAAGTAGAAGTAGCAAGACGTACCTGTAATCTTGCATATTTATGAGACAGACAAAAGACACCAGCAATCCTACCATCATGTAAAACAATTACAGGCTTTCGTTTTACACTCACTTGGCAGGATGGTAGTACCCCCCTGGGTTGTTGCTGTCTACCAACCTACTACCTACAATAATAATACATATACACCTACCATCTGATTTAAGACTGAGCAAAGTTCTGACCAACTGGTCATAAGTTAAAATGGACGTAAGTTGAACCTTAGTACTGAATATCACCATCACATTTTTGTAATGATTTTATTTTATTGTTTAATTTTGGTATTTCATTTTTTGGTATTTCATTTTTTTCCCAGAAATTTGGCATACAAAACATGATCATAAGTTGAGCAGTCGTATGTCGAGCAGGTCGTAAGTTGGAGGGTAGATGTAATAATAATAATAATATATGTATAATGATAATATGTATAATAATAATAATATAATAATAACATGTATTATAATATAATAATAATAATGCACTTTAATAATAATTGTAATAGTAGACTGCTTTGAAAGGCCATTACTAGATGGCAGTGAATACCACAACACTGCAGGAATGTTTATGGCTGCCTCCACTTGCCATATTATATCTTATTTTATTCATTCTATAGTATATATCATGTTTCTATGTTATTTATACTGTTTATTATGCCATATTAGATCAATTGGGATAGATAAATAAGCTGTAGAGTTGATATTAGCATTATATTGAAGTGTATTTTTCCTGCCTCTGAGAGCAGCGATTCCGCTGCAACAGATTAATGACTTTTCAATTGATTTAAATGAGGAAAATAAACTCAGCACATAAACAAATCAAGATATGAACAAAGTCACAGAATGGATTAAGTTCATAAGCAGAGGTTCCACTGTATTCAGTCCCAGGTACGTAAACCTCATTTTGAACCTTTGTCATTGTTTTTAGCTCTTGATAATATTTTTGTATTTTATTTAAATCATATATAGCAGTAAAATTTTGTAATATTTATTCTGTAGATCTGTGGCAGAGAGGGCAAAAAAAATATGCCAGAGCTTCACATATCCTATCATAACGGAGACCATTACAACAGTGTGCGTAAAATTAACGATCATAATTCCTCCAGTCCTGCTTGCATCAAGTTATCTGTAAGTACATTTTTTCACACCTACTGTTTCCTCTAGTTGCATTTTAAAGAGTTAACATTACCAATACTCAGTTGCTTTCATTTCATTACCTTTAAGAAACATTTTTGTTTAACTTATTCAGATAATATACTTGTTGTGAGACTCTTAAAATCTATTTTCAAAATATTTCATTCTTGTTTTTTAATTTTTTTTTTTTACACAGTGTTTTACAAGTTTAGGTTAAAGTTCCCAACAGCTAAGAGCTGTTACCTACATCAGCTCATTTGTAAGCCTTTTTATTGTTATGAGACATTCATACAAATAAGGAGCAGGATGAAGTTGGGGCCATCTGTGGGCCAGCAATTTCATTTAATCAACTGACTTTATTTCGTTGATGTCATTATGCTGTACGGACATGTTCCAGACTTGAGTCATCCTAGGAATAAATCATCTCAGTTGTAGTGATATTCTGGAGTGTAGTTGGTCAGAGTGTAGTTGCTGTTGGCTCCCCATCTTGTTGTGTAGAAGTTCACTTCTTGCTGTCTTGGAAGGGGAGCCAAGTGTGGTACTTGGACAATATTGGCCTTGTACATAACAGTAAGGCTGCCCACATCTCTCCTGTGTTGAAGGCTCTGCTGAAATGACAGAGCTATCCAGGCTGAGTCCAGGTCAGAGATGAGTCATCTTGCTCTGATCTCTATTTGTCAAGAAGTCGCAGATGAGACGGAGGGCAGGCAATCCAAGAAAGTGGAGCATACCTAGGGTGTGAATGTAATTCTGCCTCATATAGAATCTTGCAACTTCTGCTGTTCAGCAGATGTGAGATATACAGTAGGGCCCCACTTTACGGTGTTCTCACCCAATGCGATTCGTTCCGTTCGAGACACGTCCACATGTGGCCTGAGCGCGCCTCACTTGTCCCGTGGGTGCCAATGTTTACAAGCCAGCCACCACGGTCGCATCCAAACATACAGTCGGAACATTTCATATTATCACAGCGTTTTTAGTGATTGCACCTGCAAAATAAGTCGTCATGGGCCCCAAGAAAGCTTCTAGTGCCAACCCTACAGCAAAAAGGGTGAGAATTACTATGGATATGAAGAAAGAGATCACTGCTAAGTATGAAAGTGGAGTGCGTGTCTCCGAGCTGGCCAGGTTGTACACAAAACCCCTATCAACCATCGCTACTATTGTGGCCAAGAAAACGGCAATCAAGGAAGCTGTTCTTGCCAAAGGTGCAACTTTGTTTTCGAAACAGAGATCGCAAGTGATAGAATATGTTGAGAGACTGTTATTGGTGTGGATAAATGAAAAACAGATAGCAGGAGATAGCATCTCTCAAGTGATCATATGTAAAAAGGCTAGGAAGTTGCATAACAATTTAATTAGAAAAATGCCTGCAACTAGTGGTGATGTGAGTGAATTTAAGGCCAGCAAAGGTTGGTTTGAGAGATTTAAGAATCGTAGTGGCATACATAGTGTGATAAGGCATGGTGAGGCTGCCGGTTCGGACCAAAAAGCAGCTGAAAAGTATGTGAAGGAATTCAAGGAGTACATAGACAGTGAAGAATTGAAACCTGAACAAGTGTTTAATTGTGACGAAACAGGCCTATTTTGGAAGAAAATGCCAAGCAGGACCTACATTACTCAGGAGGAAACGGCACTCCCAGGACATTAGCCTATGAAAGACAGGCTTACTCTGTTGATGTGCGCTAATGCTAGTGGTGATTGCAAAGTGAAGCCTTTATTGGTGTATCACTCTGAAACTCCCAGAGTGTTCAGGAAAAACAATGTCCTCAAGGCTAATTTGTGTGTGATGTGAAAGGCAAACAGTAAGGCATGGGTCACTAGAGACCTTTTCTATGACTGGTTACACCATGCATTTGCCCCCATTGTGAAAAATTACCTCCTGGAAAATATATTGGACCTTAAGTGCCTCCTGGTATTAGACAATGCTGCTGGTCATCCTTCGGACGTGGCAGAGCGACTTTCTGGGGACATGAGTTTCATTAAGGTCAAGTTTTTGCCTCCTAATACCATTCCTCTCCTGCAGCCCATGGACAAGCAGGTCATTGCAAACTTCAAAAAACTCTACACAAAAGCTATGTTTGAAAGGTGCTGTGTAGTGACCTCAGAAACTCAATTGACTCTAAGAGAGTTTTAGAGAGATCACTTTAGCATCCTCAGTTGTGTAAACATTATAGGTAAGGCTTGGGAGGAAGTGACTTAAGAGGACCTTGAACTCTGCTTGGAAGAAACTGTGGCCAGAATGTGTAGACAAAAGGGATTTTGAAGGATTTGAGGCTAACCCTGAGAAGCCTTTGCCAGTTGTAGAATCAATTGTGGCATTGGGGAAGTCCTTGGGGTTGGAGGTTACTGGGTAAGATGTGGAAACTGCTCTGGAGAAGGGGATAGAGAAATGAGGAAGTTGTCTACTTCAAAGATTAAGGAAATGTGTGCAATGTGGCTTAAAGTGCAAACCTTTCTTGATGAAAATCACCCTCACACAGCTATTGCAAGCCATGCTGGTGACTTACACTGACAATGTTGTGAAACACTTTAGGAATGTCATAAAGGAACTTGAGGTACAGGCCTCTGTGGACAGATTTGTTGTGCGACAGAGGTCCAGTGACTCTCAAGCTGGTCCTAGTGGCATTAAAAGAAGAAGGGAAGTAACCCCGGAAAAGGACTTGACACCTTAAGTCCTAATGGAAGGGGATTCCCCTTCTAAACATTAACACCATCCACACTCTCCCCTCCTCCCATCCTATCAATCATCACCAGATCTTCAATAAAGTTAAGTGTCATGTAATTGTACATGTCTTCTTCAGTTTGTGTGTATTAAAATTAATATTTCATGTGGTAAAAAATTTTTTTTTTCATACTTTGGGGTGTCAGGAACGGATTAATTTGATTTCCATTATTTCTTATTGGGAAATTTAATTCGGCTAACGATAATTTCGCCTAACATTGAGCTCTCGGGAACGGATTAACATCGTTAGGCGAGGGTCCACTGTACTTATGTATACCTGTACCTAAATAAGCTTTCACACTGTGCATTCCCTTCTTTGCCTCCATAGATAACGTTTTTTGTCTCCACATATACCTCAACGCACCACTCTCCTTTTTTCCTTCATCATTTCTATGATTAACCTCATCCTTCGTAAATCCATCTGCTGACACGTCAACTCCCTTAAATATTATGTTTAATATAGATATCAAAAACACTTAAAATATAAGATTTTGAAGAAAGTATCAGAATTGGCCTGAAATTGAGTATCACTGTTGGTATCTGCCAGAAAAATTGCATTGTGCCATCACTAGTGTTATACCTTTTGTCTGTTGTGTGTCACAGTATCAAGTTATTTTATAGGCTATGATTCCTAAGAGAATGTAATGAAGTATATTTTAAATGATGATAAATAAAATTTTAGTGATATACATATAAAATGTAGTATATAAATATAATTAACTTGCAGTATAATCATTCTTTGATTTTCCTGTTACTTTCTACTTAACCATAGGTTCAGGACTCAGAAGATGGTAAAGATAAAAAGAAGAATGGAAGCAAGAGTTCTGACAAAGAGTATACTAGTGATTATCCTGAAGACTACTCTCAAGACTATGCAAGTGAAGAATATACCTGGTCAGGGGAAGGTTATGATTACTCAGAACCAGTGTATGAAGGTCTCTCTAAAGCTGAACACATGGTCATGGATCAAACTGGGTGTGAGGATTTGCATCTCATTCGCAAACAACTTGAGGCTCACGACTTTGATGTTCATGAAGCTATCAATTCCATACTCACTTTTTTTGTTCTTCAGTATAAGGGTAAGTATAGTATAAGCTACGTAAGGAAAGGATGAACTTTGTATTTTGCACTTGTACACGAGCATTGGTTAAATATTTACAGTATAGTAAGTACAGTATAATACAGTGGACCCCCCGTTCGCGATGCTATCGGTATCCAATAAATCCGGTATCCGATAAACCCGGTATCCGATGCATTATATCGCAAAAAATTTGCCTCAGTTCCCGTTACAAAACCTGGTATGTGATACGATTCGTACGAGACGTGTCCACGTGTGGCCTGAACTGCCCCGTGTGTGCCAGTGTTTACAAGCCAGCCAGTGTGCGCGCATCTAAGGATACATTCGGTACATTCCATATTATCCATATTATCACTGTTTTTGGTGCTTGTTTCTGCAAAATAAGTCACCATGGGCCCCAAGAAAGCTTCTAGTGCCAACCCTGTGGTAAAAAAGGTGAGAATTAGTATGGAAATTAAGAAAGATTTTGAAGGGTTTGGGGCTAACCCTGAGAAGCCTATGCCAGTTGTGGAATGCATTGTGCCTACTTCAAAAATTAAGGAAATGTGTGCACAGTGGGTTGAACTGCAAACCTTTATGGATGAAAATCACCCTAACACAGCTGTTGCAAGCTGTGCTGGTGACTATTGCACTGACAATGTTGTGAACAACTTTAGGAAAGTCATAAAGGAACGAGAGGTACAGGCCTCTATGGACAGATATGTTGTGCGACAGAAGTCCAGTGACTCTCAAGCTGGTCCTAGTGGCATTAAAAGAAGAAGGGAAGTAACCCCGGAAAAGGACTTGCTACCTCAAGTCCTAATGGAGGGGGATTCCCCTTCTAAACAATAGGTTCAACACTCTCCCCTCCTCCCATCCCATCAATCATCACCAGATCTTCATTAAGGGTAAGTGTCAATTATTCTATTGTTATTGTTGTTATTGCAATTATTCTATTGCATTAAACTTAATATTTCATGTGGTAATTTTTTTTTTCATACTTTTAGGTGTCTTGTGGCAGATTTTGCAAATGTTTGGAATAGGAGGTAGGTTATTGAAGGCAGTGAGGAGTTTTTAATGAGGATGGTGAGGCTCAGTTAGAGTATGTAGGAGAGAGGGAGATTATTAACCAGTAAAAGTAGGCCTTAGATAAGGATGCGTGATGTTACCATGGTTGTTCAATATATTTACAGATGGGTTTGTAAAAGAAATGAATGTTCGGGTGTTGGCAAGAAGTGTTGGATTAACCCTTTCAGGGTCCGTCCTGTAGATCTACGGCTTTACATTCAGGGTCCAAACCATAGATCTACGCCATGAGCTCAGCTCACTCTGATAAACTGTGAGTGGTAAATTTGGGCCTAGATATGAGAGAATACAACTGTGTGGTATGTGTGCACCACATAAAACAAATCCTGCAGCACACTGTGTATAATGAGAGAAAAAAACTGAGACTGTGATTTTCGATTAAAACAGCAACTTTGCAGTGTTTTTTCCTATGTTTTTTATAGTTGTATTTGCGGTTTCTTGGTCTCATTTGATTGAATGGAAGACATATTACAGAAGTAGAGATGATTTTGATTGGTTTTAGCACTGGAAATGGCTTGAAACTGAGCTCAAATTAGCGGAAATGTTCAATTTTTGCCGATGTTCAAGAGTAAACAAAAGACCTCACACGTCTAATACACGCCAGCTGGTGGGTCTAATATACATTCACAAATGTGGTGATGATATTTATACAATTATTACAATATTGCATAACAGTAAATCTTTTTTTTTTGGTGTGAATAAAAATTCATTATGTGAATAAAAAATAAAAATGGAATTTATTTGTAAAGCCTCAAAACGTAACTAATGAACAGAGGAAATGTTTGTTTAGTGCCAGGAATACCTACATTGTTTATTCTGGACCCTATTTTGAAATTGGAATACAGTGGACCCCCGCATAACGATTACCTCCGAATGTGACCAATTATGTTAGTGTATTTATGTAAGTGCGTTTGTACATGTATGTTTGGGGGTCTGAAATGGACTAATCTACTTCACAATATTCCTTATGGGAATAAATTCGGTCAGTACTGGCACCTGAACATACTTCTGGAGTGAAAAAATATCGTTAACCGGGGGTCCACTGTATTTTGAACTTTGTGTTAAATTGGCCAAATTACCAATTTCCGATCACTTTATTTTGTAGTTGAAACAGTTGACTTGGCGATTTCTTGTGCTCAGTCGATAGAATAGAAGTAATACTAGTGAAATAGCTAAGAATTTGGTTGACTGGAATAATGTAATTGGCCTAAAATGGGAGTCAAAGTCTGCAAAATTGCTGATTCGTAAATATTGCCAACACATCAAAATTCACGAGAGCATAATTTCGTCAATTTTCGATCAAATTTCGTACTTTTTGTCTTATTATCTTCACAGAAAGATTCTCTACCATTTCATAAGAAAAATTTTTTTTTTTTAAATTCTTGGGCACTGGGGCACCACTTCAGATTTTGGCCTTGGACCCTGAAAGGGTTAAAAGATAAAGAATCTAACACGAAGTGGAAGTTTGCTGATGACACTGTGCTTCTGGAAGATTCTGAAGAGAAGTTGCAGAGGTTGGTGGATGAGTTTGGTAATGTGTAAAAGAAGAAAATTAAAAGTGAATATAGGAAAGAGTAAGGTGATGAGGATAACAAAAAAGTTAGGTGATGTAAGATTGGATATCAGATTGGAGGGAGAGAGTATGGAGGAGGTGAATGTATTCAGATATTTAGGAGTGTATGTGTCAGCAGATGGGTCTGAAAAATGAGGTGAATCATAGAATTGACGAAGAGGAAAAAAAGTGAGTGGTGCACTGAGGAGTCTGTGGAGACAAAGAACTTTGTCCAAGGAAGCAAAGAGTGCAGACATAGTTCCTTTGCATAAGGGAGGCAGTAGGGCACTAGCTAAAAATTACAGACCAGTAGCCCTAACCTCTCGCATCATAAAAATCTTCGAAAGAGTGATGAGACGGCAGGTTACAAATTTCATGGACCAGCACAACCAACATAACCCGAACTAGTATGGTTTTAGAGCAGGATGATCATGTCTGTCACAGCTGCTGAACCATTATGACAGAATTACGGAGGCACTGGAAGATGGCCAAAACGCAGATGTGATTTACACAAATTTTGCAAAGGCGTTTGACAAATGTGATTATGGAGTGATAACGCATAAAATGAAGGCCATGGGCATTACGGGGAAGGTAGGCAGATGGATTTTCAGTTTTCTAACACACACAACACTAAAAGTAGTAGTGAACAGGGCAAGATCCAGCATCAGTGAGGTCAAAAGCTCAGTGCCCCAAGGCACTGTCCTGGCACCTCTGCTGTTCCTCATCCTCATAGCAGACATAGACAAAAACAACCGGCACACTTTTGTATCATCATTTGCAGATGACACTGAAATAAGCACGAAAGCCAGTACGGTAGAGGACACTGAAAAAGTACAGGAAGACATAAACAGGGTTTTCCAGTGGGCAGTAGAGAACAACATGACGTTCAATGGTGATAAGTTCCAGCTGCTTAGGTATGGAAAGAACTCAAAAGGAGCACTATATACAAAACTCAAGAGGGTCACCAAAAAGAACGTAAGAAACACGTAAAAGGCCTAGGAATAATTATGTCAGCGGACATTTCTTTTAAAGACCATAACAAGGCCAAGATCATGACAGCCAGGAAGATGACAGGGTGGGTATTGAGAACTTTCAAAACAAGGGAAATAATGCCGATGGTGACACTTCAAATCGCTAGTGCTCCCTCACTTAGAATATTGCTCAGTGCTGACGACCCCATTCAAGGCAGGAGAAATATTGGAGCTGGAACAAATACAGAGATCGTTTATGGCTCACATTAAGCCAGTAAAGCACCTAAACTATTGGGAATGCCTGCAAGTCTTGAACATGTACTCATTGGAGTGGAGGAGAGAGTGGTACATGATAATATATACAGTGATCCCTCAATTATCGTCCTTAATCCGTTCCTGGAAGTGGGACTATTATCAAAATAGACGATTTTCGAATCAATTTTCCCCATAAGAAATAATGTAAATCCAGTTAATTCGTTCCAGACACCCAGAAGTATCAACAACAAATTTTTTTTTTTTTACCTAAAAGATAGATTTACATGCACAAAAGAATGAACATTCAACATGACAGTTAACTTTATTGAAGGCTGTTGGAAATATAAATGCATATGCAGTATAATGTGATCCTTTATTGACAATGTTTTGCCCACACAGTGGGCTTTTTCAAGTCACAAACAGATCTACCTGGGGTGGAAGGTACGCGAGTATTTATAGTCAGGTTCAGAGTGCTGAGGTCAGGTGGAGAATGCTGCATCTGATGATGTACCAAGTGGGGTTATAGAGTCTAAAATCTTGGGTAGCTTGGAAGGGAGATTGGATAAGTTTGTGAGCAGACCTTCTGCAGTGTTCTTCCATTCCTATGCTCTTATGTGGGATAGCGATGAAGAAGTTTCTTGGCAAGTGGTTCAGCTATGTTATAGAAGCCATTATTCTGGTTGAAGTTGTCGGATATAGAAATAAGTGATGATTCCAGGATTCTTCGGTATTGAGTGTTGTCTTCTGTGGCGATAAGTCTTGAGTTTCTGTAGTTTATCAAGTGGTTATGTGAATTACGGTGTTGTACACAGGCATTCCTTGTATCATCAGACCTGCTTGCATATTGGTGTTCTGAAATACGCATTTGGAGGTCCCTTGATGTTTCGCCCACGTATAATTTGTTGCAGTCATTACAAGGGTTTATGTATACCCCTGCAGAGGGTGGAAGCTTGTCCTGTCTATCACTGGTAATGTCCCACATAAGAGCATAGGAATGGAAGAACACTGCAGAAGGTCTGCTCACAAACTTATCCAATCTCCCTTCCAAGGTACCCAAGATTTTAGACTCTACAACCCCACTCAGTACATCATCAGATGCAGCATTCTCCACCTGACCTCAGCATTCTGAACCTGACTATAAATATTTGCATACCTTCC